CTTCACAGGACCTCGACCGATATCTCAGTGGTCAGCAAATTTTACCTACCAGTCAACACGGCCTTGTCCTCGTTTATGAGCCTGGGGAGGGGTGGTACTCGGCGTGCGTACACCGTGTCCGGCCACATGCTGCATCCCACTAAGTCCGTAAACGATCTAGGAGTACTATCACGTTGAAACCCGAAATCTGTCGACAACACAAACGAACTGTACGTAAACGGACTACGCCTGCTTTAGGCCCTTAGACGTAACTTCTGCGCTTGGTCTGAAGTGATCGTCAACCGTCTTTTCTCTTCCATTAATAAGACAGGTACATGAGTACCGCTCACCCGTCTATTGGCGGATCACAATACGTGAGGTGCAGAGAGTGGAACTGGTGCAACATGATGCTACTCGGCTCATCTCATGTTTATGGGGTACGTCGTACGGGGACCGATGTAAGAGACTAGGGCTTTATACGCGGTCATGTCGTCGGCTTCAAATTGCTCCCATTATCACCCACCGGATAGTGGATCCGGGACAGTTCCATATGTTGAAGCTGATGTTGCACGTTCGAGCACCAAGAAGTACACGCGGACACCGGTACAAACTAGTGGTACCGCATTTAAAGCGCATCGCTCAGCCGCTATGCTTCGAGGGTCGAGTGGTGAAATATTGTAACACATTGCCGGAGACGCTAGTTGAGGCGAAATGGTTGTCGGAATTTAAGAGATTCCTTGACGCCCATTTTGCTGAACACAGGTATAGCATGCGTATCGCACCCGGATAAGCTGTAGTGCAGTTGCAATATGCTAAAATTGCGCAGGGATCAGCGACGTGATTCCGCGCGTGTGCACGAGGTCCCTACGATGGGGCACCACAGATGTAATTTTACCGCCCGCTATTGTCAGTGTTAGGTATTCAGTAGTACAGAAGCAATAGGGAAATTAACATACTTGATTAAATAGTGACAGAAAGGCAGACCATCTCAGTAATATGCATTGTGCAAAAGGAGGTGAAAGGCGGTACACTGGTAGCAGGAAATGCCTGGTCACAATGGCATTATTTGATCCCTTTGTTTGATTACATGCTATTTGAAACTGATACCAATTGGAACATTTACAGAGGTCAGCTTCCATGGTTTTTTTGATAGTTTGAACGGAGCGCCCGAGTTTGTGTTGATAGACACGTTGTTGCGTAATCGACCATGATCGCTGTACCGGCGAGCAGTATTGTCGATGCTATTCTTTGATGGCAGAGAAAAAATAACCGTCTTAGTTGAAAGCTGCATCCGGTAAGCAAGTTTTATGGAATGCATTTTAAGATCGAGTAATTACAGTGTCAATATCTGCCATATAAATCAAAGCCTTGTGCGAATTAGCATCGATTTGCTGATAATTATAAATATTTATTCGGTTTTCTGAACGAAGCGATCGATGCACGTTTCACTTCGACACGATTTCCCATTTGGTATCGACACGTGACAACTTTGCCTTGTTTCGAATTAACATTCACTGTGTCTGCCGATCAGATGTCACACAAAATACAGGCATTCGTAGAGTGTACAGTCATGCATATCGTAAGATGCAAAATGTCCCGCTTCACAGGTATTCATACTGCTTTTCGTATTGTATTAAAAGCAATACCTTTTAAATGTATTCAC